TCAGTGCTATGTGAGACTTGGTTAAAGTTCTAAGCTGCTTGCTTATGATTTTAATATCCCTCAGCTATTCAGAAAACTGACCATTTCTATCAAATCAGTTGCATATTTTAATTTTCCTTTTTTTCATTTTTTTTTCTTTAGCAAGATATAGCCAAACAAAATAATTTCTTATCAAAATAGAAGAGAATGTTTTAAGTTGTAGCTAAGCTGGCCTTTGGCTTAAAAGCAATTGGAATGGAATTGGAATTACATGAGGTGGCTGAGTTGATTCAACACTGTCTGCTGTTTAAAGGGCAAATTCTGCTCCTCTCCTCCCTGTTTGTAGTCCTGGCAATTTTCAGAGCTTCCCATGGGTTGAGTCAGTTCACTAAATGCCATGGAAGCCTTAGCAAACAAGAACAGTAAGTGGTTTCCCAAGCTGGGGACTTGAACCTGCTCAGGGAGATCAGCAAGCACCAAAGCTTTTGCAAGGGCTGGATGGGCTGGTGGGCTGGATTGCGCAGGTGGAACAGGGTCACAGGTGTTAGGAGGAGTGGGGCTCTCCCCTTGGTGACAGCTAGCAGTTAAATTGACTCAACTGTAGTATGTCCCACTACCTCAGCGGGCTTTTGCTCCAAAAGGGAAATGTTAGACCTTGAGGATGCTAAAAAATCACAATGCTCAGAGAATGCCAAGTTTTAATTTCAGAGGAAGTTGTGTGTCCCTGTTATCTGAGGGATTTGGGCTGGATCTGGTTTGATTTCAAAAGCCTGCTTTTAGTGCAACTGCTTGAGGTTTTTTATGCTGCAGACTTCACCTTCATTCTCCTATCATCATCTAAAGGTAGAAATACAAAAAGCCTTCCAAGGAAAAGTGATTTTTTCTCATGTTATAATTGTAAATTGTATTATTCAGTCACAAGTGTTGCATCTTACCTTTTTGCCTGGCTGAACACTTTGATGAAAATGTGCACTTGTAAAGTGCACACCTATATTCCCAAGTTTGTTCTTTCAGAATGTCCGTGAAATATCTGATGAACATCTCTTGAACAAACACTGTTGGAAATTCTGGTACAAAATATCCTTTTAAGGAAGTCATTTCAGTGGGGATGTTTCAAACTCAGTAATACTCCGCAGAAGAATTAACCTCAAGGGATCTTTTGTTTGTTTTTTGAGTTTGTTTTTTTCGTGTGTGTGACGTAGCAGTGTCTCTTGGTACTGAGTGCAGTTTTTTCCACTCTGTTTAGGTGGTTCAGAAGCTGACCCAGATGATTGGGAAGAATGTGAAGCTCTACGATATGGTGTTACAGTTTCTGAGAACTTTATTCCTCCGGACAAGGAATGTTCATTACTGCACACTCCGAGCAGAGCTCCTGATGTCACTGCATGATCTGGATATCAGTGAAATCTGCACTGTTGACCCATGTCATAAGGTATTAACCATGTGGGACAGATAGGAGTATTTCTGGACAATTTTCTGTTTCGCCAGCTGCTGTGCATACCTGCTGCTCTGCAGGTCTTCAGCCCAGAGAAGATGACTCCTCTCTGTGAAGAGAGTTCAGAACTTGAATCCAAAAGTCATCTTATATGCCTTGGAACTGCAGGTGAAAATTTCATCTTAGTTAACCAGCAGCTTGCTTTCATTTCATAACCCATAGATTGCTCAAATTTATGATACTTGTGCATTGTTTAAAAGAGGATCTACTCTGACCTATGTAGATGCTGCAAAAAATAATCTAAACATTGGCTAGTGTCAGGTTATTAGTCACAGCTTGCTTCCCTCCCCGTTATGCCTGGTGTGATATACTCCATCTGTCAATAGCCTGTGTGTGTGTAACTGATTAAATTCTTTGGGTCTTGAGTTATGAGAAACACTGAACTATTAAAATATTGGGGGATGGGGAGTTAATTTCACATCAGGATCTCATTACTGGTCATTTGTCCATAGTCAGTGACATTCTGATCTACAACAAGGCTTTTTCTTTAAGTAATTTTGCAAATTTTTGTGTGTAATTCTGCTTGCAAGGAATAGGTACTAAAGTGATGACGAACGTTGTTGCATGATCCTTGATGTCCTGTGGTCAGGAGTCTCAAAACCAACATGCATACCCTGACTCTGTAGAAAAGGGCTGTTCTTGTTCAGTTTACAAATCATTTTCAGAGACCTCATTTTTCCACTGCAAAATGCAGTGACAGGGTTGAGGAAAGTATGCCACGATGTAAGCGTTTCAGAAAATTCAACAAGGTTTTTGTTTGTCTGTCTTTTTTTTTTTATTGTTATTCTTAAAATGACAACAGAAATGGTGGGGAATGTATGTTTTCTTAAAGGCAAAAACAATTTTAGGTTGCATAAAATTGTTTCCCATAATCGTCTCTTTCCATTTTGATAATGAAACTGTAAAGCCGAAGCAGCTCTACATTTGATATCTCCTTCTTGCAGAAGATATTCCACACTTTTATTATTCGGTGACGCTGCTTCTGTCAACTTCCTCCTTGTGTACTGGGCAGTTGTATACTTTGTCAGGTGCCTGTTCCTTAACTGCCAGGGAATTAATATTTTGGGATAGGAAAAAGTGATAACAGGTGAACTTACATCTCTGACCGTCTTTTGAGAGATGTGTATTTTCGACCTCCTCTTTTGTGGTTATTGTAAAGCTTTGGGTTTTTTTTCTTAATAACAGTTCACTTGGTGCCTTGATGCCTGCATTCGAGAGAAGTTTGTGGACAACAAGAGAGCTCGGGAGTTGCAAGGGTTTCTGGACGGAGTGAAGAAAGGACAAGAGCAAGTATTGGGGTAAGCTCTTTTAGGCTGTTTATTGAGAAATCGAAAATGGATTCCTAATGGCCACAACATCTGATGAGTATTTTAGGTGATAGTTTTTTCCTTAAAGCCAAGTAGCAACCAGTGTATATATATAAATGTACTGTAACTATGGGTGTACATTGCAAAAAAAGAAAATACACACACACTGCTTGGTGTGCTTGGTACTCCATCTAATACTTGTCAGACTCTCCGTTCTCATGCTGGTGTCAACATTGTCTCTAGTAACTGGTGTCCTACGGATGGACATGGATCTGGATTGTAAGGTTACTTGCTATATGTGACACGTTTGATTTTTCTTCTTTTTAGGGACTTATCTATGATCTTGTGCGATCCTTTTGCCATTAACACCTTAGCCTTGAGTACCATAAGGCACTTACAAGATCTGGTTGGGCAGGACACCCTACCCAGAGTGAGTATGCGCAGCCTGGGTGCTTCATGTGATGCTGTTAAGAGTCTTAGTTGAATGATGTTGATTAGCAAAGCCAGACTGGCACAATGGAGGTAGTACAGCTAAGCTCTCAAATGCACGAGTGAGCTGAAATAAGGGAAATGTAGCACTACCTTTGCATTCATAGCACTTACCTGAGAGCTCTGCAGGTGTCCTCTTTGGACACAGGCATTTGGAGCTTTCCAAATTGACGGTGACTCATTCTGTCCTGAGGGTTATACCTATGTGCATATCCCTGCTTTTTCCTTCCGTCAATTTGCCTTAGAACAGCAGTGTTTCTTCCCTGCCATGGTAAATGTGAGAGTATAACTTACACTCTCCTGGTCTGTCGGCTCTGATGTAGCACAGTTTCTGTGACTAGCATTTGCAGGAGGCACTTAAATATTAGAGGAGGGGAGCCTTTTAGAGCCTGAGCAGTGTGAGGCATTTGCTCTTTTTCATCCCTGGTCTCTCTAAATTTAAATGTTGAATTAAATAATTTCTTCATGACAGTTTAAGATTGAAAGTTGTTTGGTTTTAAGACAATATAAATGATAAACCTTTATTTTCTGTCATTTGCTTCTGCTAAGATGCTGTGATTGATCCTGTCACACATTATATTTCATTATGGTAATTTGGCCAGACACCTTTAAAAGCTGTCATGATCAGATTGGCTGCATATGTGGCCCATTATAAAATGTTTTTGGAAAAAAAAAACCTCCGGTGTGTCTGGTTGTGCTTGCTCACTGTGATTCAAATAGCTGCAATCAGTTATCAATTACATCAGGGAACTAATTGCCTCTGTCAGCCTTTGACAAAGCAGTTAATCTAGGTGAACCTTAAATCTAAACCACTACTTCCAAAGAAATGTCCCTGTATGCAACTTGTAGAAGATGAAAACAACTGTTTTTTTTCCTCTCAAAACTTGAGGAAAGCCCAGATCTGCTGCTGCTTCTGAGGATGCTATCTCTGGGCCAGGGCGCTTGGGACATGATTGATAGCCAAGTCTTCAAGGAGCCCAAAATGGTGAGCTTTCTCTGGACTTGTTTCTTGTGTGCTTTGTATTAGGTTTCATGTTTCAGTCTTCAAGTCTGCTTGCTGCGTACCTCTCATTGCAGCTTTTCTGGAAAAAATATGCAAATATTCACAGAGCAGCAGGTCAACTGGATGCACTGGTAACTTTGCTTAGGTGCTTTTTCATTTCTACAAATGTCCGGCCCTCACTGTTTAATCTGCTCTCTCGCTGTCTTAAAATTCATACTGGTTGCTCATTATTCCTGGAACATTCCACCCAAATGGCAAGTTTTTAAATCAGATTTTATATGGCAAAGCAGGATTTCAGAGACTGGTGTGAAGCTTTGGTAATAGTGTAGCATCTTCTCATCAACAGGAAGAGTATTTTTGCCTTCCAGATCTCTGTGACGATGAATTTATGCAAGTGGCACTTTTGGCTGCTGTGTTACTGAATGACAGTTGTCCTGTGCTCTTTCTTTGGCCAATATTGGAGACATCCATGGAGAGCTGTGGGAGCAGAGAGCTTCAGCTGATAGCAGGGGATGCTCACCAGTGTTTGACAGGAGGACAGTTTCTCAAGACACATTTGGTGCTTCTGTTCTGGCCGGTAAAGCATCAAATGTCTACAGGGGACAGTTGAAGTCCACAGGGTGTATGTTACTGGCTGATTATGCATCCCAGTTTATCATGGGAGTAATGTGCTTAAATATTCAGATTGTGACATAAAGGTGACCGACAGTCCAGGAGTAGCACTGTGATTTTTCTCGAAACTCATCGGAAATGTTTTCATGATAATTTTGAAGCTTTCTTCTAAAGTAAATCACGTCTATACTTAAAATCTGTTCTGTTTGTGATTTCATAAGCCTCCCATGCTGTGAGTTTGGTGCAGGCAGGCTGATCTGCCTCCTGCAGAGCTAATTCTGACTCAATATTTCTTACAATGCTCTGAGACCCTTAGACAGCATGAACTGATGGACACATATTGTTTCCCCCCACCCCTGTTCTTCCATTCTTCTAAGGAAGCTGAGCTGATCACAAAGTTCTTACCTATGTTGATGTCTTTTGTGGTGGATGACCACATGTTCACTGTAGATCAGAAACTGCCCTCAGAAGAGAAGGGCCCGATCCCTTATCCCAGCGTGATTCCTGAAGCTTTCACCAAGTACGTAACCTGTCCAACAAGTTTAGTGCATGTTAGTTGTGCTGCCAAAGCGAAATACCCATGAGCCAACTGCTACTGGCAGTAAAGAAGTGCATGTGGTAAAATGAAGGCTTTCCTGGGGTATGATTTACCTTTAAGTAATCAAGGCTGAAGTTACTGCTTAGCAGAATAGTTTTCCACCTCAAATAAAAGTTACTTGCACAAAGTAACACTGTTTCTGTACAGTGTAAATGGAAGTATTTGGTATTACTGCTTTCAAATATGCTGCCTGTGTAGCTTCCCAAGCAGGGCGTGATGAATGGTTGAGTGGAAACTTTTTACTTGAATGTAGCTGCCCATTCTTGCTGTTTAATGAGTGCTACTGTAGATTGCAAGATTGCCTTTTATCACAGAGACTAATTCTCTGTTGATAACCTTTCGCTCCAGGAACTTCAGAAAGATAAACAAACATCCTCTGTGTGCTCAGTGGTATTCAGCTCTTGCAGTAAGTTCCAGGAAAATCTTATCTGTATGTCAGAATTCAGAATATTGGATCCTGGTTGAGTTGTACTTGCAGCCGTTTTATTGCAGTGTTGTTATTTGACATTTGGTAAACTTTAAAACAACACTAATTCCAAATTTGTATCATGTTTGAGTCTTGAGGTCTCTTTTAAATCTCATCGTGAATGAGCACTTTTAACGCTCTCTCAAGCGCTCACAATTATTTGATTGTGAGACAGGATGGTGTTTGCCCAATGGTAGGGTTTTTTTTCTTTTTTTGGAGGCGGGGGGAGGGGACTGTGGCAGTGGATATAGTGACCCTCTTATTTATTTTTTGGGGAAAGAAACCTTTACTTGCTTGATGAAGAACTTTTTTTTTTGGGCCATGACAGATTCTTGCAGGAGAACAGAATAGCTTGCGAGATTGGGCTGTATTACTTCCTTCACATCACTAAACTGAGGAACAAGAATGCTTTCCTTAGGCTGCTGCCAGCACTAGGTGAGTTTTGTCCTTGCTTTCTATTCTGTAGTTGAGTGTCTTAAATTGGAGAGATTGAAGAAGGCAGATAACCCAAGGTGAATGTGATGTTGGAGTCACAGAGGTTATGTTCTGGTTTTGTCTCTTCTGGTAACATAGTTGTAAGTAGAAGGGTTTTTAGCGTATTACCTGAAGGTCAGTATTTCTTTGTGTCCAAGAGTGTATCAACAAGGGGATTAGCTGAGAGCTATTTGAAGTGAAGCTGAACGATAAAGCAGTAGGTAGTTTAATTTTTCTGCAGCTCACCGTAGTTGCACATGGCCTGAAATTCTTGGGACTCAGCAGTGTGGTGGAAAAAACTTGTGACAAAATGAGACCAAACAGAGCTCTAAACTTCTCCCTGAGGTTACCTTCTTCACTGACTTCTGTGGGTTAAGTTCAATAAGAACCCAGAGTTAGGAGTTGTTATTGCTGGTAATGGAGTGGTTCACTTCCCACTCCCTGCCTTGCCCCAGTTCTGACCTTCTTTTGACCCTTTGCCAAGCTCACTCGTGCTGGTGAGTTTTCCATCAGGTAAGTGCCTCCCATCTGCTCGCTAAGGGGTGTGAAGAGCACAAGGAGGTGGATGTGGCCGTGAACAGAGGACTGTGGAGAAGGTTATTCAGGAGCTTTGTGATTTGGACAGCAGCAAGCGCCTGTGTGAGACTTCAGTCTTGGTGGAGACGAGGGTTTTCCACAAACTCCTCTCACCCTTTCTGCTCTTAATGTTTTATATCTGGAAGGTTATGGCCACCTGCATGGGTTACCTCTTGGAAAAGCCAGTGAAGAAATCTTCACTCCAGAGTTTTCTTGCAGGAGCATCTGCTGCTGTGTAATCAGGGTCTGGCACATTCTTGTTGTTCTTAATCTCTTTCCTTTTGTGTTGTATAGTTGAGACGTTCAGTGACTTGGCCTTCAGTGATATTTTTCTGCATTTGCTCACCGGAAACCTCACACTGCTGGGTGATGAATTTGCACTTGAGGAATTTTGTACCAGTCTCTTTGATGGCTTCTTTCTCACAGTCTGCTCAAGGTAAATCTGGTGCTCCTCAACATAAGTGAGTTTACAAGACAGCTGAGAGATGCTGCACTTCTTTGATGTATTGTTTGATCTTTCAGCATGTAGTGGAAATATTAGCTTAATAATATTTTTCTTTAAGAAAAGTCTTATGTTTGGGATATTTTTTTACTCCAAAAGTATTGAGTGTTGATTATAAATTATTACCTAAACTGTTCATTTCTTGTCTCCTATTCTTATGGCCTTACCAAAAGAGAGACCAGCTGCTGACACTTGCTACAGTCTGTGCTCAAAACCTCTCCTTCCTTTTTCATAACTGCTATAGTTGGCAGCTGTTGCCCCTGTTGAGTGATTATATGAATTGCTTGGAAATCTAAGGCAGGCTTGGAATTTTGTAATATTCAGGCAATTCTGAGATGTTTTCGCAAATTATAACAAAGCTTTCAGTCTCTGGGTGTGTAGGGTATCCTGATACTATTGCAGTAGCTTTTTCTTTTTCAGATAAGAATGTTTGTTTATATCAGTTGCTCACCTTTAATATTGCTCTTTGCAGAAAGGAGAACGTACATAGACATGTCCTGAGACTGCTTCTTCATCTCCATCACAAAGTGGCTCCTATCAAGTTAGAATCTCTCCAGAAGGCTTTGGAACCCACCAAACAGGTAAGGAGAGACATGAGAAAGGGAAAATTAATAAATGAAGCAGCTACCTTCCAAGTCATATCTTAATTGCCTTGTAACTTCCTTGTTGTATTCTGGTTTGTGCTAAAACCTTTGTGGTAACTGTGTATTTAGCTAGAATGAAGTTTGACTCTTTTGTTTCTCCTGCCTGTTTCTCATCCTACAGAGTGGAGAAGCTGTGAAGGAGCTTTATAATCAACTCACTGAGAAACTAGAGCTTCGCAAGCCTAGTCCAGCTGAAGTGACTGAGACTCCCTCCATGGAACTGCCCTTGCCCACTGTGCCCACGCCAACCTCACGCTGAGCTCGGGCTGCAGTGCAGCAGTGAGGCAGGGCAAGAACCAACGTAGTGCCCTGCGGCATGAGGCCTTGCACTGCCTTGCCGAGCGTCTCTGCTACGGCGGGGAAAATGCCCCTGAAGCTCTTTCAGGAAACACTGCACATTGCCCTACTCACTGGCTCTGGCTGGTTAGAAAACTTGGTATGCGGTGCATTGCGAAGGTTTACTTTTCTTAAAGATAGCTCAGAGTCTTCTTGTAGATCCACTTAAATTTGACTGTACATTTTTTTTTTCCAAAGAGAAAAAGCATATTTTAAGCTTCGTATCTTGTATCTTTAAACTCAGTTTTAGGAACTGATAAGTGAATTCCAAACTCTTACGAATGCACAGCTAGCTCATGTAAGCATAGCTTTTTCCTGGCTGTTACTTTGCTTGTCTGCATTGTAAGAGAGGTTTAACAGAAGGAAATGCCAGAAGACGTTACCTCCTCTGATGCAATTCCCTGTTTTAGATTGCAGCGCTTTTAGTGCATGGTAACATGTGCTACTTTAGATTTGAATGCACCAAGAGCTTTCACTAGACCAAGAAGCAGTGAGCAGCCATCTTCTCACCTAGGCTTTCATGAAGTAGGTCAGAAACTGAATCATTCACACCTTCCTTTTTCTCCAAAGGAGTAGCTTGAAATAAACCTTGGAGCCCCTAAATAAAACAAAGGCTAACATGTTCCCTAATAGAAACAGGGTGTGAGGATACGCAGAATGAAACTCTTTCTGTGGGGAAAAAAAAACAGCCTGGGCTTTATGATCATCTGTGTTGCTCTCTGTAACGTTACAGTTATTTTTTTTTCTTTTTGCTGCCTCAGCATAAGCCTCAGTCAGGTTGTGCAGGAAAATGGGTGCGAGAGAAGAGTCAGTCATGTGAGTTTACAGGTGACTTGCGTTGATTTCAGCAGATGGGATGAACCTGGAAAGAAAAATTGTTCAATCCTCTGTAACCAGGAAACTGCCTATGTATAAAGCACAGAATAATTGAGGTTGGAAGACATCTCTGAAAGTCTCTAATCCAAACCTTGACTCAGAATGAGGACAAACTACATTAGGTTGCTCAAGGGCAGCTCTTTTTTGCATGTTTTTTTTTTATTATTATTATTTCTGAGATCTGGAATGTTTTATAAGGAAAGCGAGCATCATCTTTCAACTCAGTGCCTTATTTCTGGGTTTCTGCATGAAGGTAGGTGTCAGTGCTCTTGCCACAGCGCTTTGATGTACCTCATCTCCAGTGTAACTCTTGGGGTCAGTGTTGCCTCAGGCTCTCTGCAGCTCTGTCATCAAACACCTGGGAAACAAGAACTGGCTTTAACCACCATGTCTTTCTTGTGGAGTTCTGTTTTTCTGTTAAAACCGCAGTGGTAACTTACACAAACATCATGCACTGCCGACAAACCTCTCACAATGGAGCTATTCAAGTCCATGCTTTGCTCAGACACTGAGGTTATTTATGCCTTGTTTCAGGGATTCTTGTCAAAAAAGGTTTCCCTTATGCTGCAAGCTGACCTCCTTTTAATCCAGGCTAGCCTATCCATGGTTTACTGTCTGCTGGTTAGGAAGACCTCAGTGTTTCAGCCTGTATCAACACATGCTGGTGTTTTTTTTTTTTTTTCCCCTTTCCCCTTCATGGTTTCTAGCTTCCCAACAGTGACTCAAAAACCTGAGGTGCACAAACTGGCCATTACATGGGCTGGTCGTGCTGATGGTTGAGGAGATCTGTAGATAGTGGACAATTGCAGTGCTGCCCCAATCGATGCTCTCTTGGACTAGCTTCTTGCAAAAAGGTGATATGATGTGTTTAAGTAGACACAGAGTTTTCAGAATACAACATATTTTTTTCAATGGGTCTGTGTGCACAGACTGAGACAAGGGAGTCTTCATTACAGTGTCAGAAATTATGTGGCCTTCTGTGTTACGGATTAACCCCTGCACAGGCTCGAGCAGCGCCCGGCTGTGGGCAGGATGCTAATTTTCCCCCTGATCTCTGGGTACTTTTCTAGAGTTCCTACTCGCGGGAGCTCACTCTTTTCCTCTACTCCAAATATTCTTCTATTAGATTTTACAGGTCCATGAGAAAACTACCAGGTGGAGCTTGGTCGGATGTTATCAGGGAATTCTTTTTTCCGCGTTCCCAGCTGGGTATCTCCTCGTGTTGATGGTGTCCCTGAGCCACAGAGGAGCGGGCAGCAGCCGCGCACTGCGGCCGGTGCTCACTAGAGGGTAGTGCACACCTAGCTTGCCTTGCCGCCGCTGGGGCTGCTGCTCAACACCCTGCTTTGGCCCGGATTCGCTGCAATTCTCCCTATTTGTGCATGGATGCAATACTTATGATATGGAAAAACAGTCTTTTTCACCAAACCTGCAGTGTCTGACTGAAGAATGAATTTTTACAATTAATTTTAATTACAGTGAACAATTTTATCCTCTCTGAGTACTTTTCCTTACAGACTAGAAGTATATAGAGGTTCAAGGTTTTTGGATGGCTAACATTTAACTGAGATTTTATGTCGAGCTTTGAAGCAAGTTGTTTGTATTGAAATACACCATCAAGTTGAAGTGCTGTAATTGCCTGATTATAATCAGTAAGAGTAGCTCTAAAATTCATTAACTGAGGCTTCTGCTAGCAGAGAGATTGAGCTTCTCCTATGCAAAATTAGTGGAAAAGATGATTACTGTGGTGCAATACCATAACCTGCCTGACACCCAAAACATGTTTAGCATCATTTCAATACACTATATTTCATTTGACATGATGATTTGCTGCAAAGTAGCTCTTCATGGACCCATATAAAAGGAGATGGAATGAATCTGCTTGGACAAAGACATGGTTATCTCTGGATAACCATCAGCTATTCTGAGTCTTGTCTATTTTGCTAGGAAGTGTTTTTAGGTGCTTTTTGGCTTTCTGTCTGTACGACAATATGGCCATAGGTTTAAACTTGAAGATGCTTTTAACCTGCATGTGCAGTGCTGATGACTGAATGTGGGAGCATGTTTGCTTCGGGAGGCTGGTTTCAACTTGCCCTTATGGTCAGAGGTGTCTCCATTCTGCTCCACTGGGTGTTTGATCTAGGAAACCTTTGGGTATGTGTGTGTGAACATCAGATTCCAAAAGAAGTTGACAGGCTTAGCTGAAATTCCGGCTCTGGAGTACTGGGGATTTATTATCTTAAAACTCTTTTGAAACCACTTTGGAAAAGAAAAGGCTGAAATCTAGAGAAAATATTTTTTCTCTAATAATTTTTCTCTACCTTCAGTTGCAGTCCAGATGGAAATTTTTACCAAAAACAAACAAACAAACCAACCCCAAGGAAGGTGTTAACACAAACTTGAGTATTGCAGTAGCATATGCATTGGAGGGGGATTCATGCAAGCAAGAAGTTGGGCCTAAACATGGTGGAAAAGAATGAAGAATCAACCTCCAAGAGAGTTCTTGTTGCCAAGTCCCGGTTTCAGATCCACTGGCAATATTTCCCAAGTAGTCCCACAAAAATCTCATCTGGGACTATTGTAGGAAAGGCTTCATCAGGCTGGTTCTTAAAGGATAGAGGAGGGGACGCAGCTATCGGAAGACATTTTCGTGTATCTTTACATGTCTGAAGTCTCAAAAGCCTCTGTTTGTTGGCAGGACACTCTCTCCTCCCTCACTGCTGTGGGCAGTAGATCCATTTAAAAGGGGTCCAAAATGATGGTACTGCAGGTGGCTGGAAGGAAACGTGCATGTAAAAGGAATGTCTAATGCGATGTCCAGCAGCAGATGCCATGCAGCAGAAAATGCTGAATTATCTCTCTTTGAAGTAGAGTTTTGATTCTGATGAGTTGCGCATGGTGGAAGATGCAGGATGTGACTCGTGCCATCTTTGGCTTTGAAAGAATTCTAAGAAAATGAAGAGAGGTAAACAATCTTGCTAACTGCTTTTTTCATATGATTCAGACTTTTCAGGATGTAGAAGAGCACAGATTTTGCCTGTAGTGTGTGTAGTGAGATGCTTCTAGATGTTGTAAGTACTATTTTAGATCTATCTACACTGGAGCTGCGTATGGTGAAAGGTCTGTCCCGGAATACAAGCATGATAATTAATCCAACCATCTCTGAAGAGATGTCTCTGGAGCAGCTTTTTTTGTGTGAGTGTTCCCACACAGCTAATTTTGCAACTCTGATGGATCCAGTTACAGCCTGCTGAGATCTCTGTATTCCCAGTTTGGCTTTCCCACCTTTATTTCCCAGTCACCCTATTATGTGAACATGGGCCGAGCCCAGCAGGTCTCATGAGCCGTACCTGGCTCTGTCCCTGCTCCTGTGACCCACAAACAAATTCTGGACACTCTTGCCAGTGTTTCCCTTACTACTAGAGTAGAGCACAGCAGTAAAAGCAAGGATCAAGTCAGGGGCCGGGGCAGCTCCAACCAAGTCCAGATCATCCTTAATATTGCAGACACCTCACGTCGGGTTTCATATCCATGGTTGCTCCAGCCTCTGCCATTCCTGGACATGCTCTGTTCTTTCTCACTTCCTCATTTTGCCTCTTGCCCTGGGGAGGCTGTTAATGCAGGGCTCTTGTCTCCCTCCCTTATCTGATCCGCAAAACAATGGGCTGCAAATTGTGGAGACCTTTGGTATCTATGTGAGCTGAGAAGGCTTAACCCTTTCCCCCAGAGGGGTTACTAAGAGCAGCTGAAAAGCTGTGTAAAGCTAGAGTCGCAGAATATTCTGCATTTGTCCTAACTTCTAAATGGAGCTCAGTAGGAAGCCAGGTTTCTGCAGGCTGCTTGTCAGAGCACAGGCTCCTTCTACCTCGGTTCCAGGAAGCAGCTGCAAATGCAAAATGCTACCCGGCCTGGAGGATTTGTCTAGGGAGGCAACCTTGGAGCAAAACCTGCTTGTGTGTCCATGTCCCTAGGCAGAGGAAGGGACTGGGGGACGCGCAGAGGCTGTTTTTGTGCTCCAGCCTTTCCTAGATGCTGCTGGCAGCCCTGGTTGGGGCGAGCAGAGCCCGCCTGTCACAGTGCCCGCTCGCCCGCCCCTGCTTTGACTGCTGGCCTGGGCAGAGGGTCTCACAGGTTGTCTGCACTTGAGCCAGGGCTCTGGGCCACACTGCAAGCAGCACGGTGCTCTCTGCTCGCGAGGAAACCACAGGTCGGCTTAGGGCGTTCAGGGACCTGGCTTTGAGACAGGTCAGGAGGAGTTTGTGTTTGCCTGCTGTGGTTCTCGTGTGCTTGGAAATCTCTCTACAAGCTTCTCTTGATTTTGTGCTAGGGTTATAGATC